CCATCTCCCAGGATGACTCCTTGCAAAGGTCCATAGCCCTGGATGTCGTCTGGCACAGACTGGTCTGCAGCCTCTTTCACGATGTGACAGACAGACTCTCAGTGGCCTCTATGTCCTTGTGTCGACACGTTCATGCCTTCAGTGTGGGTGTGACTGTGGTCTCCTAACCAATGGAAAATGGCTAAGGTGATGGAATGTCACCTCCCTGGCTATATTATATTGTTTTAGCCTCATGTTCCTCACAGGTTTGCTGTCTCTCTTTTGCTGGCTCGGAGGGAGTGAGTGGCCACGTTGGGGAGACCCACCTGGGGGGGAACTGTGGGCAGGCTCTAGGAGCAGAGGCGACCCCGACCCCCAGAAATATAAATGTGCAGTCTGCAGCTGCAAAGGACCGGATTTTGCCAACAACCTGAGGAAGCTTTGAGGTGGGTATTTCCCCAATTGTGCCTCCGATTGTGACACGTCAGATTCACCTGACACCTGGATTGCAGCCACGTGAGACCCCTGAAGCAGAGGCCTAGCTAAGCCACGCCGAAACTTCAGATCTACAGACACTGGGCAAAAGCACGCATGCATTGTTTCAAGACGCTCAGTTGCTAGCATTCATTTTGCAACCATAGGCAAACAACATGCATGAGACGAGTCCACACCAGACACACACTCAGTGAGCCCGCCCCTGGCCCCATGTCCTCACACAGAGCACTCGTCCCCTGCAGGGGTCATGTCCCCACACCCCGTGCCTGGTCCCGGTCCTGGGGCCCGTAGGCCTGTGGCCCAGCTTCATGAAAAGCTTTGCGTTTCTCCTTACTTCCCAGCTCACAGAGACGTTTATATTGTTTTCAAGTTTTGCTAAGTTTCTTCCCTCCTCTATGTATCTTTTACCTATGATGGCTTTGTGTTTGAAATAGAGGAAAATGCCTTTTATATTCACCTTGGCCAAAGTATCTTTAAAAAAATAAAACTGGTATTATTAATTTTTTTTTCTGTTTTTAAAACTAACAGATACCGTACTTATTAACTTCTGCTTTGAAACCGCCCTTGGAGTTTGAATTCTGGGTAAGATGCACAAACACTCACAAAGAGTGGGAATTGGGGCAAACTTATAGATTTTTTTTCTCTCGTTTGTTCCCTCCCACCCCAGCCTGCAAGCAATCCCACAGCCGACGTGCTAAGTGGGGTGAACCTTCCTCTCCTGACCGGGTAACTGTGGTCTCAAAATGCCATGGTATGGACACCCACATCTTCTCTCTCTCTGTAGTCACAGCAGAGTAAATACAATCCAAGCTTTCTGGCCAAAGGGACTCTCAAAGGGAGGCCCCCAAACTGAAAGTGCCGGGAGCTCTTGAAGGAGGAAGGGTTTGGAGAGCGGTCCCATGTAGATGCTAACGGACCCTGGGGCTCAGCACAAGCAGTGCTGCACGGATCCCACCTCAAGCAGCACATAGAAGTGAGGAGGGAACTATGAACACACAAGACCAAGGACCCTGGCTGGCCACTGGGTGGCACACGCGTGCGACACATCCAAATAGCACTGCAAAGACTTGAAAAATGAGCCGACCCCCAGAAACTGACATGAACACACAGCCTGGACCTAAATAGATTGAGTGTTTGCTAAAGCAAAAATACCAATATTCTCAACAGTATTTAGACAAGACCCAGGGTCTCAGAACGTAATATTCAAACGACCAGGATAGAAACCAAAAGGATGAAGGGTATGAGGAATCGGGAAAATGGCGACCTCTCACGTGGGAAAAGGGGACACAGATGTTAGCATTTTCTGACAAGAGTGAAAGCACCTATTTTTAAAAATGCTCCGACGATTGCAAATGCTCTTCAAATGACTTAAAGGATACAAAGTCTAGCAAAGAAATAGATGTAAAGAAGAGCCAAATAGAAATTTCAGAATTGAAAGAAAAACCATGCAGTGGTCCCTAATTTATTTAATGTGTTGCTATCATTAGCATGCAATTTGCGTTGTGTTGTTCTATCTTAAATATACGCCTACAAACACTTAGGTATTTTTAAGGAGACTCTGGCGACCCTCTGGCTGTGGGTCTCCAGTTTCCTGCATCCCAGACTCACAGGGCCAAACCCAGGCTCACTGATTAGAGGGGGTGCATTTCCTACTGGGGGGCAGGGGGAGGGAAGCCCCTACTGTTCTCTCCCTGTGCCCACCTTCAGGGAACATACCTGTGGAGGCTCATTGCAGCCCCTGTCACCTTGTGAGACCTACAGCTGTCTGCATTGACCGTATCTCCTTCATGTCACAGAACAAAGGTGCCAGGGGGCAGCTAGCATGGCAACTGTTGTGATGTTACTGCTTTTGTTGCTAGAGGTCCTTTGTTTTCTTCTTGGCTTTCACTTGCTTCCTTTTCCTGATCCTTTGACAGGACAAATTTGGGATGAGCTGCGCCTGGGTCCAGAGTCACAGCCATAGAGATGAAGGGCGTGGGCATCTATTGTACAAGGAGCCCTCACCGGCTCAGGGACTCGGCGGCTGTGTCCACTTCCTGCATGCTGGCTGCCTCAGGCATGCCCTGTGCGGGGTCTGCCCACAGGACGTGCCAGAGCAAGGAGGCACCGGCTGACACCGTGGCAGAGACTCTGAGAGCTCCCGGGAGGGGCAGTGCTGATGAGGCTCCCGTGTGGGGGGAAGAGAGGATCCTGTTTCACAATTCTGCCTCCAGCCTGAGCTACCGCCCAGCAGGACGGTGGCTGGGACAAAGAACTGCCAGGCCCCTCTGTGCTGCCCTGAGCACAGCTTTCCACAGGACCGCCAGGGTCAGCACCTCACAGGCCAGGTGAGAGGACCAGCGTAGGTCCCAGGCAGCTGGCAGGGTCCAAACCTGACTCCTGTCAGTAGCTGAGCACCCTGACCGGCCCCTCCGCCATTGTTGATATTATTTCCTGTGTGAACATCTGTCATACGTGTATTTATTGTAAATGCATCTTACACCTACAGCTACGCATGTGGCAAGCTCTTACTTTGAGGTGGTCATCTGGTTTCCCCATAAATCACAGCTCTGAATTGGGCAGAAATGGTCCTTTGCCTCCTGTGTTGAACAGGAGAGGCAGGAGCTGAGTCACAGTTCTTGCCCCCAAGCTCACAGCCTTTTCTGCACTGGACTCAGAGCAGAGTGTTGGCCCTGGGGTCCCAGCTGGGTCATCTGTGGCTCCTGGCTACTTGCTGACCATTGCTGAGTGTCGTGGGAAGTATCTAAACCCTGCAGAGGGACGCGGGGAGACATGAGACACAGCAACAGGACCAGAGGACAGAGACAGGCTGGAGAAACTCCTGCGGCCCCAGTAGGTCCTACCACCCCTTTCTTACCACCTTCTTCAGAGCGGTTATTAAAAAGTAAGCAACCTAAAAATAGCAAACCAGAACACGTTTGAGGGTTAATGGATCACAAGGGGTTTGGTGACAAAACAGAAAAGTCTCAAGTCCGACTCTGTGAGCGGCACAGGCTTCCTGACCCCAACATTGTGCTGGGTTCACAATGCGGCTTCCTGGTGATCAATCTGTCCCTTTCTCATCGCTGTAAGAGAAGGATATTTCCCAACTTTCTGCCCCCCATTCAGGGCTGGCTGTAAACAAAAGCTTGTGGCAGTTCACTGGTGTCTGCCCCACCCCACAGGCCCCAACCCCAGAAGTTTCGTTTCTGAGTTTGCTCCAGTCTAAGTTAACTTCCTGGTCCTGCTCTGTCAGGACTGGCACTCCCTAGGACTCCAGCACGTGTGTGACCGTCTGCAGTGTCCAGGTAGTGGGAAAGGGCCAGGCCAGGGTGTGTGGGGGGACATGACAGCTGGGGGTGGATGCAGGTGGCAGGGAGGGTGCCTCCTGGAGCTGAAAATTCAGGACATGGCCTGGGCAATGGCTGTCACTATGTCTGCTTTCACTTTCCCCAGACCCCATGCAGGCAAATCTCAGGGCATCCAGGATGTGGGGGGAGCGCAGGCCCAGCAGGGCGCCCAGGTCCTCAGGAGGAGCTGGCTGTCCCTGGGAATCACCCACCATGGAGTGGCCTCCAGGTGACATTCTCTGGGCCTGAGCCACAAGCCCTGATTGTGAGAGAAAATAGAGGTTCCAGTAACTGTTGTCGAATCTTGTTTCTAATATCCCCATTGTCGGTTCTCTCTCTCACCTGCTTGGTGTGGGCAGGGGTGCAGGGCTGGGGTCCCCATGCGCATCCCTTGATCCTGGTGCCTCCTCCCTCATCTGCTTGGCGGGTGCTGGAGACACTGTCACTCCCTCATCCTCATGTCTCTTTCCCTCCATCAGGGAAGACCACAGAGATGACAAACGCATCCATCTGGTGGCCTGTCTACCTCCACTGTCACCCTGCGGGGGTCCCCATGATACTATTACCCTGGTGCCTCTGTTTTTGTGGGGTGGGAGTGGGGGTGCAAGCAACATAATCGTCTGATGAAATCCACCGGTCACCTGTCACCACCGGTTGTAGAGACATAATTCAGGAAGTAATTATTCTCCAGTTTCATCAGGAAAGGAAGGTTCACACTCCCTCAGTGAGCTCTTGCTCTCTCTCTCTCTCCCTCTCCCTCTCCCATTCTCTCTCTCTCCCTCTCNGGCAGAAATTCTTTTTTATCGGCCAGTTGGCTCAGGGATAGGCTGTCTGCATAAGAATTATTTCCGTTCCTGCAGGTTTCCAAGCCCAGGACAAATAGCCAGCTACGTGGCGAGGATATCATAGAAGGAACTCATGCATAGGTTGGGGGTTTGCTTAAAGTGACATTTTCAAGGCTTTCCATTCCTCAGGTCTCAGGATTGCTTTCCGATGGATAATTCAGTGGGACACCCTAGGGAAGAAGCAGCAGGTGACAGGATGAGGGACTGGCGCTGGCCCGCTGTTGACACTGAGTCTCTATAATGAGGGCATGATGGAAACAGGAGGACAAGGAGCGAGGGTGAGTAGGAGGCACTGGGGAAAACGCGGCCACTCTCCCACGAGGCCGGCGGCAAGCACGGGAGCTGGCTTTACCTTTCCTGGTGGACGGCTTCTCCTCCATCTGGCTCCTTTGGGAAATGGCGCCACGCTCTGTGGGGGGGCCCCCCTCTGCCCTGAATCTCTTTTACTGCGACAGGCTTTGATCTGTGGGGAGAGCCACAATCCAAAGCATGACACACAAATGACTTCCTCGTGCTGGCGTTGTCCTTCTCTCAGCATCAGGGAACATTTTGATTTGACACAGACAGTGCTTTCCACTTGGCAGCACAGTTTTCGGTGCTTCCAGAGGACTAGATTTTTATACGAAAGTCTGGCTGTAAGTCCCAGCTCTACCCAACCACTTCCTTTCCTGGTCAATGAGAAGTCCCCTTTCTGGGCGGTGCTGCAAGAGGAACATGAGAAAAGTGCAGACCTCCGAGAACCGTGCGACGCTGAGGATGGCGATGGCTCGAGGTGGGTCAGAGGGTGGGAAAGTTAAGTTCAGCACAAAAGCAGAGGANGCCAAATCTGCGCCAGCACCCCTGTCCCCAGTGCCGGGCTCCATTCAACAGGACAAGCCTGCGGCCCAACAAGCAGCTGGGGAACCTCATTGAAGCCATAAACAAGCTGGACCTGGAGATGATGTGCAAGGAGCACGGGGAGAAGCTGCACCTGTTCTGCGAGGACGACGGTCAGCTCATCTGCTGGTGCTGTGAGCGGTCATTCCAGCACAAGGGGCACAACACCACGCTCGTGGAGGATGCGTGCTCAGGCTACAAGGTGAGCATGGGGACCCAGGATGGGGCATCGACGGGTCCCCACTGTCATTGCGCCCCAAACCTGAGGTCACCCAGCTGGACCCCCGAGCCTGCATCCTGAAAGATGGCTTTCCCCATCTCCCTCTTCTGCAAGATGGCTGAGGGTGATTCCTCCCTGGTCAAGTCCCGACTGTCTAACCTGAGCTTGTGTGACCATGTGTGTGATGGTCAGACTCGTCCCTGTCCACTCTCATGCCAAGGACCCTCTCCCAGCTCTAGGACAAAGTCCCCAAACCCACACCCACACACTCTATTCCTCACACTGTGTGTGAGATTCCAGGCACCACAGGGGACAAAGACACCACCTTTCAGGTGTCCCCCAACAAACCAGGGAAGACAGACCAGCAGAAAAACCAGCCTAGAGGCTCCTGATGTGGGGAGTTGGGGTGATTCCTGAAGGGCACATAAAAAATCACCATATACAGAAGTGTAGATGGCAGTGAGGGTGACCCAAGCCGAGGGGACCACAGGGCAAAGGCACAGTCGAGGGAGCTGAGCTGACTTATCGTACCTGAGAGGCAGGTACCAGCTCAGGTCCAAGTCCTGCCCAGAGTGGTCCTGGCCTCGGGGGACTGGCATGTGCAGAGTGAAGGTTGACACTGAGAAGAGCCTCCTGGCAGTGACACCATAGAAGGAATGTCAAGGAAAAGATTCTGATCATTTCTGTAAGAGGTGGGCGGGCCGTTTTGAGCAAGATTCAGGAAGGGGGTGAAGGACGTGGAAATGGCCGTGAGGAAGCTGACCCTGGATATTGGGGCGTGGGCTGAGGACACTGTCCTGCTGCCTTACCTCCTCTCTGCCCTGTCCACATCTGAGGAAATTGTCCCCATGCAGAGATCATATTCCGACCCCTCACGAGGCAGAGGTGGTCTTCTATCACGGTCCTTGGCCGTCCATCAGGACATGTCCCTGGGCAGCCCTTCCTGAAACTCCAGGGCAGCTCATTACAGGAACGAAGGTGTTTCCCACCAGGTAGCAAGAAAAGCAACAGCACAGGGGACGATGCTGAGCCTCAGGAGTCGGACTGCTGGGTTTGAAAGCTTAGCTCTGCCCCTGACTCGATGGGTAACTCTCAGCCAGTTATTTAGTGTCAGCGTTTCCCCATCTGTAACTGGGGACAACAGCAGCCCTTTGCTAACAAGCATCACAGCCCGTTCTCGCCAGCACAGGGCACTTGGTGAGTGTGCTGCTGGGTGACAGAGGACAGGACCTTGTTCTTTCAGTTTGAAGCTTGACTAGCAATCTGGTTCTGCTACAAACTACTTTCCATGAGAACATGAGAAATTATTTTGAAAAATAACCTGAAAGCTTGATTTGGACACTAATGCATTTTAAATTGGCTTCATGGGACCATCCTTCAAAAGGTACCAGAGAACCCCTCCTCCACGAACTCCTTCTAACAGTGTCACCCAGTGCCCTGACTCACCAAACACACCCAGTGTGCCACGGTGTGCCAGAGCACTGGCCATGTCCGGGTCAGCACGCTGTTCTATCAAATATTCTCTCAGATGATTATCATGCTGTGTGCCAGGTCTCCCTGGCAGGATGGGTATGGAGACTAGACCTCAGCAGGAGATGTTGGACTCACAGTCCAACCATCTCCCGGCCGTACCCCTTGGGTAAGTCACAGAACCCCTTCCTCAGCCTCAGTTTCTGCAGCACTGAATGACGTCAGAGCCCTACCGGTGCTCAGGGGTGTCATGAGCATCAGATATGTCCCTGCACATACAGCCCTGAGCCGGTTCCCCACACAGTGTGAGGACTCGGTAAACATCCACCGTTATTCCCACAGTCTCAGATAGCTAGGGTCCCCCTGGGTGCCCAGTGAGGAGCTGCCAAACTGAATCGACTTTGTTCACCCCATTTTCCTCCAGGAAGAGCTCCAGAAAGCTGTGACAAATATGAGACAACTGGAAAAGGAGTGTAGGAATCGGAAAGAATTCATGACAAAGCAAATAACCGAATGGAATGTAAGAATTGAGGTTTATTGATCTCAAGCTCTTTTCCCCCATAGAGCTTAGGCAGAGGGGTGGATTGGGCACATGGGGTTGGTTCCCACTAAACCAGACCGGACAGGTGGAACCCCAACAAGAAGCCCTGATTCAAGCTTATACCTTTCATTGTTTCCATCTTTGAGAATCTGTCTCCTACCCTTCGGCCTCTCAGTAATCATTGGCTAGGATTCCCGACCCCTCAGTCAGAAGAGGCAGCGTGGGTGTGTCTGTTCACCTAGAGCCGTCCTCAGTGGGTTTCAGACTCTCAGCACCTGTGAGGACCTTCCTAGTCTGAAGGCTTCAACCTCAGCACCTTGGCACATTTACCACCGCACAGGTGCCGCTCTCAGCCTCACAGGCTCAGGAACCAATGCAGGTGGACAGTCACTGAGTCATCTCATGTCTGAGAAAAAATGTGTCTTTCATTTATAAGGACAATCATGTCTGCTGAAAGAACCCACACCCTTACCACGGCAGACTCTGGGTCTCCGGCTGTTTCCGTGGTCAGACATGCATTCCATCATGGAAACTGTTACATGACCCACGCTGGCCGGCAAGCCATTGTGCCTGGGTCACAGGTCTCTCCCCACCTCTGTCCTGACGAGTGTTCACTGTGACCTCTCAGAGGACACTGCTACTCCCTTCATTTCTGGGAACCCGTGGGGGGCAGGGCCTCGATGATAACTAATGAAAACACCACCCATGACCCTCCTACCCCAACATCACGGTCACTGAAACACCACACAAACCACAAAAGCACTAGTGAAAATTGCAGTTCCGTGTCTCCCAAAATGGAAGCTGAATCCTACAGAATACCTCCTCTGGTTTTGGTCAGTTTTACACATAGGGATGATCACATGCACCCCGGGCTGGTGGTAGCTATGTCCAGTTATCTGGGATAAAGGTCTGCCACCCTGAAGTCCCCTGCTGAGAAACTGGGACCCTCCTACTGGCCTGGCTCTCCTAACGTCCAGTCTTGGTGTGATGCTCATTACAAGCTATTGCTCCAGGAAATTCCCCAGACTCAGACCAGCCTTCACATCTCTCATCAAGACTCCTTTCATCGTTGTAACAGAGTGCTGGCCTCAGCCCTAGTCCCCTGGTTACATTATCCAGTGCTCCTGCCCCTCCTTACACCTGCCTCTTGGCTGAAAAACAAGAAAACAAACCAAGTGACGCTAGAGGTACATGACCCTGTCTCCTGATCCCGAGTGCCTCCTAGGTGTGACTGCAGCACAGAGCTGGGGACATTCTTCCAGCTCGATGGCTCACTTGCAAATAATTTCATGGAAGTTGAGCACACTTTCTCTTGTATGTGCATGTGCATTAAAATATTCATTACACAGAATCTACCATGTTCACCATTTTTAAGTGCCCCGTTCAGTAACATTAAGTACTTTTATATTGTTGTGCAGCCATCACCACCATCCATCTCCAGAACTTGTCTTCATCCCAAACTGAAGCTCTGTCCCCATTGAACTCCAACTCCCCACCCCTCCTCTCAGCTCCTGGCAACCTCTATTCTTCTTTCTGTCTCTAAGACGTGACCACTCTAGGTCCCTCCCATTAGTGGGATCACACAGCACGTGTCCTTTTGTGTCTGGCTTATTGCACACGGCATCCTGTCTTCAGAGTGTGTCTTGTGGTAGCACGCGTCAGAATTCCTTCCTTTTTATGGCTAAAGAGTGTTCCGCTTTATCTGTGAGCACACTCTGTTGATCGCTCAACTGTCTCTGGTGACACGGGTTGTCACCTTCTTCTGAACACCCTTTTTGACTCCAGAGGAAGGTGGAGCTTCAGACACAAAAAATCCGGGATGACTTCAAGGAGCTGCACAGGTTCCTGCAGGAGGAGGAGAAGTCTTACCTGTTGAAAATAGAGAAGGAGAATGAGCAGACTCTGAAGGCTCTGAGGGACAGCGAGGCCAGTCTGGAGCGCAAGAGGTGTGAACTCGAGAGTCATATCCAGCGCCTGGAGGACAGGTGTCAAGACTCAGCCCAGAAGCTGCTGCAGGTGAGGCTGAGCACTCAGAGGAAGGAAAGGAGGGGTCTGCCCCTGAGCGATGGAGGGGACAATGGTGAGGCAGGATGGGGAGACAGGCGAGCCTGCCTGCCTTGATCAAAGGTGGCACATCAGGTGGGGACTTGGAAGTGGCCTTTCTTTTAGATGCAGATCCATGACTGCGAGGTGGCTTCACTAGTGTATAGGAATCTTTATGTGAATCAGACCAACATGCCCCCTGGATGCACATGCAGAGTTTTTTGGCCAAGAGACCTTGGGGTCACTTCTGCTCCCATTTGCCCCGTCATGTGCCCAGAACCTGGCATTAGTCTCCTGAAATACTCCTCCAGGTGACTCTGGGTGGGGAGGTGAGGCAGCCAACATGGATGGAAATCTTTGCCCAAGTTTGCTTACAACAGCCCTGGTGCCCGTGCTCTTAGGGGACCAATTAGGATGCAGCACCCTTGGCTGTTTTATTCCAGTTCCACTAATAGGACTGCAGGTCACCTGGTGAGGCTGAGAACATGGCATGACTGCTCGACCACCACCTGCTGCCACCACCGTGGTGGCCCAGCCTCGGGTCGTTGTGATGAGTGGTCTCTAATACGAGTTCACTCGGAAGGAAGTTAGGTGAATGAGAGCCAGTGCTGCCCGAGGGAGCATGGGGTGACAGCTGGCCCTGCTCCCCAAGCAGCCCACAAGCTCCACAGCCTCAGCAGGACGATGGAGACTCAGGTGGATCCACATCCCACCGTGATGCACACCCCGGGCTGGGGAGGGCACCGTCCCTTCTGGGCACCCACGATGCCCAAGGCCGGGCCCCTGTCTTCGTTCCTTTGGAAGGAGTGTTCCTAGAGGGTGAACCCACATGCCAGGCTCCCTGATATCCCGATGTCCCCACACTCACCTTTCGTCTTTTTTCTCTGTAGGGCGTGAAGGGCGCTTTGAGCAGGTGAGTGTTGTAGGAATGCAGGAGGAAAGGCATGGGGACACAGAGCTGATGGGACGCACTGCTAAGAAGTGTCCGGCCTCTGCTTGTCCCAGGAGCTCGGCTGTGAAGCTGGAGATGCCAGATGCCCCGTCTTTGGAGATTCAGACTGTCTGCGATGTTTCTGAGCTTTACTTTGATGTGACAAAGCTGTTAAGAGGCTATCAAGGTACGTGAGGATGTTCTCGTAGCATGAAGCACACACATGCTCATTCGTCCCCCACCAATCCGTGGGACAGATGTGACGTTTCCTACTTCTGTGCCACAGACGAGTCTTGTGGGGTGACCTGCCTGAGTTCACACAGCTGGTCAGAAACAACACTTGGAACTGACACAGGCTGGTTTTATCCCATATTAACTGTGGTCTTGCATGTCTTTTCCTTTTCCTTTCAGTCAGCGTGACTCTGGATCCAGAGACAGCTCATCGGGAACTAATCCTGTCTGAGGATCAGAGACAAGTCACTAGGGGAAGTCCCCAGGATAATGTGAAAGATTCTTCCCTTAGGTTTACCGCCTACCCCTGTGTCCTGGGCCATCCGGGCTTCACCTCTGGACGACATTACTTTGAAGTGTATGTGGGAGAAGGAACTCTGTGGGGTTTAGGAGTTTGTATGGAAAACGTGCAGAGGGATATTCGCAGGAGACAGGAACCCCAGTCTGGGTTCTGGGTCATCAGGCTGTGCACCAAGGCCAGCTACATAGCGAAGACAAGCTTTCCCCCCTTATTTTTCCTGAGGAAGCAGCCCCGGCTTGTGGGGGTTTTCCTGGACTATGAGGCAGGAGTCGTCTCCTTTTACAACATGACCACAGCCTCCCACATCTTCACCTTTCCCAGGGCCTCCTTCTCGGGTACGCTGTGGCCCTATTTCCAGGTTTATTCCTCTTCTCCTCTGTCTCTGCCTCCCCCAGATGAGTAAACAAAGGCACAGTCTCCTTCTTGGCTTCACCAGCATCAGGAAAATAATATGAATCCTGTGAGGCAGAATTAGGTCTGTTTTCTTTCTGGTATTTCTTTGAACCTAGAACAGTGTGGGTGGGGCCTCTCATGGGTCCCTAATAATCTGCATTGAATGAATAGATGTAAGGACTGTAAAACAACACAGCTGGTCAGTCTGGAGGGAAACAAGATCATCGCAGTGACCAGACCTTGTCCTCTCCATCCCCTTCCATGTGGTCAGAGCTCTGATTTCTGAGAGTCCTTGGGTGACCAGCAGGGTGACCCAGAGGTCAGGTCTGAGTCCTCCCAGTTCATTTCACACCATTTGAACTCGTGTGGGGATGAGGGGAAGCTGCAAGTCTCGGCCCATGGCAGGAAGTTAACAGAGCAGTGACTCCTGTGCACACTGATGTTTGGTGAACAGCCTGAGCTACGGTTCTGGGTGGTGGTGAGTGCAGAGGCTGTCAGACCTGGCGGAAGCCAAGCCAAGTGTGAGAGAAGACTCAGAATGGGCTGAGAGTGAGATGCTGCAAAGGGGGAGGAGATGAAGGAGGTCATAACGAAGTTTGCTGAGGGACACAGTCCTGGAATAGAAGCTGATGTTCTCTCAACTGTACTAGCACCATGTCTTAAAATATTTCTAATCTCAGTCAATAGGAACCGTGGTCATTGTTCTTGGCTGTGTAGATTATGATTCAGATACAAACCAATAGGCCTTAACTATACATAGGTTGACATGGAAAAGTACATTCCATGTCAAACCCAAATCATCAGACCTGAGTTGACTAATGACAGGACCATGATGGAGTCTCTAAAACAGAGAACATTAATGTTGACTAAAACACGTCATAAAATCGCTAAATGTTATGATAGTTTATAGTTGATATAAAAGGCGATTTTCATCAATGTTGCAGTTCTCTCACTTCCTTTCTCTAGAAACAGGTGAAATGAGGCAAATGAGTTGTTTCCAGTTGTCTGAGGCATGGTTGGGCCTCCACCCCCATCAGAGGAAGACATGGCAGAGGTCAGCTTATCTCCCACTCTCCCCAGTGTCATAAGTTCTCCGAGACACACTGAGAGAAACTGGGTATAACTCAAAAGTGAAGAGCAGCAGAATACACCACCCCACATATGTCACTTGGGCATACCATCTATATTGGGCTAAGGCAGATGAGAAAAAAACAGAAACAAGAAAACCTCTTTGTCCTCCCCATTTGCCTAAAACCAGGACATGAAGTTGTAAAGTGTCCCCCCTCTTCTCTGTACCAGGAAAGACAGAAGCTAATCACCAGACACAACTCTACACCCTTATCAACCCAGAGACAGCACCAGAGGAACCTACAGGACAAACCTTGTGAAAACCAGCCCTTATTTACTATTACTTTCCCCATATCAGTCTTCACACATTTGCAGCCTAAGAAGTCATTTTCCTTTGTCTTGTTACTTCTCTAAAAATCCTGTTTTTTTGATAAGATGCTGTATTAGCCCAAGTTTCGCCCTCTGCTCTGAGTTGCTGATGTCAGAGCATCTCCACCTGTACACAGGTACCCAGGAAAAGTGGCCTGTTTCTCCTTGGCTCTCTCACTGTGACCACACTCACAGCACTCCACTTCTGACACCAGAGATAAAGGTATTTTTCCCACACCAAGTCGGATGTCTCTCAATTCAATTCAATTCTGACACTAACTGGAGTGGGACAGACCCCACTGGTAAAGGGTCTAGTCCCACAAGACTGTTCCTGCCCACCCCCACCTCAGACACCAGTCACGAGTCCAGGTTATTACTCTAATTCTGACTGACCGGGTATAAATTGAAGGTTCCCATGACCCCTTCATAGGGTTCCATTATTTGCCAGAACAGCTCCCAACACTCAGGGAAATTCTTTGTTTACTAGTTGATTTTACAGTAAAGGATATGGCAAAAAAGACGAATGAGCAACCAGATGAAAAGACACAGAGGACAAAGTCCAGAAGGGTCCCCAGCACCAGAGCTTCTGTCCCTGTGGAGTTGGGAGGTGCTCGCCAGGCACATGGATGTGTTCACCTTCCCAGAAGCTCTCTAAAGCCTGTGCTTCTCAGTTTTTATGGAGGCTTCATCATGTAGGCATGATTAATCATTAAGTTAATCCCCAGGTCCTCCTTTCTCTCTGAAAGGTGGGGAATAGAGCTGAACGTTCCAAGTTTCTAATGATGGCTGGGTTTTCCTGGTGACCAGCCCCCACCTCAAGCCCCACAGGAGCCCACCCTAACTGGCCTCATTAGAATAAAAAATGCACCTATCACCCAGGATATTGCAAGAGATTTAGGAAATCCATACCAGCAACCAGAGTTGAAGACCAAATATTAGAACAAAAGATGCTCCTTGTGCTTTTATTACTTAGAAAATCACAGGGGTTTCATGAGTTCTGTGCCAGGAACTGGGGGCAGAGGCTAATATATATTCTATTATGTCAAAACATGCTAATAAAGCTCTGTTTTTTTTCTTATTTATCTATCTTTTGTTAGTCAAATACCCAAGGCCATAGTTGGAGAAGCTAAGATGGGTAGAGAAAAAATTTTTTTCTCCTTACACAAGGAACCCCTGTGTTATTTGTCCCCTGTCCTCATGATCTGAGCACTGGCTAACTTATGGAGCCTCCAACCCACTGGATGACTGGGAGACCCCCACCTTCACACAGGAGAAGTGAAGGTATAATCTGGACATTGCTAAGCTCATGTCTCCCTCGAGGTCCTCTGCAGCCCTGTCTGATCTGGGTGCGTCCTGTCCAGTCAGGGAGGCCCCATATACTGGCAGGGCCTAGAGTGGAGTATTCTGCTCAGAGGAAATTCTACATCCTGAAACATTTAGATTCCTGAACAAGACAGGATAGTGATAAATAAAACCTTCAATTAAAGAAATAAATTTGATTAACAATTTAAACCATTGGGAATCACATGGAAGAATAATAAACATGAAAGTAGAAATTATAGAGACAACCAAGATGGTTCAGGAGGTAAACACTGTTTACCTTCTCTCACAACTACATCAAGATTACAACTAACCTACAAAACAATCAGTATTGAGAATCACCTAAAATCAAGCTGAACTCAAGCCTTTAACTAAGGACATGCAGAAGATGCCACCTCCAGACTGGTAGGAAGATCAGAGATATGGAACAGGCTGGAGCCAAACCTGCATGTGACAATAAAGATAGGAGGGATATTTCACCTGTGGGGGTACCCCCTCATCCCCTAAAGAAGGGAGAGATCCCAGCCCCACCCCAGCCCCACAGGATTCCAGTGCCGGGGAGAGAAGTCCCCATAATTTTTGGTTGTGGAAACCAGCAGAGATTGTGACTGAATGAGACTGGGTGCAGCTGCACTCACAGGTGCTCCCTTTAAGAAGTCCACTCACACTTACCCACCAACAGAATCACTAGCTTGGACCCATCATGCTGGGGAAGCAACCGGAAAGGCGGCAGACAAATGGTGGGGAGTTGAGTTGTCTGGCTTGAGACGGGGCTGGAGAGGCAGATTTCTCCTGGACACAGGAGTTCACAGAAGCCATTGATTCTTTGCTGAGCCCTCCCCCATCCTGGTGTGTAGACGCAGGTGGTCACCATATCTGAGTCTTCGCCATTAGTTCGCCCTGTCCTGCCCACTTGAGACCTGGCTGTGCCCAATTTTAGGGCACACTCAGGCTGTTTTCAGTGGCTTTTTTGTGCAGGCTGCCAGCCTTGGCTCAAAAGACTTTCCTAAGTTGTGTCAAATGTACACGGACCCCAGACAAGCAGCACCTGGCTTGAGCGTGTCCTGTATCTCTGGCTGAGCAGCTCTAAGCTGGCATTAGTGGCAGTCAGCCTTGATTGGCGGCTTGGGCTCTGATGGTGCTTCCAAGCACAGCACGAGCTGCAGCCATTAGTAGATTTTTTTTCTGGCTCCTGCTGGGTGGTCCTTGGTAGGGCACAGGCTGTTGCTGAAGTAAGCCTACAGTGGATCTCCTCCAAGGTGGTCCTGGGCCTGGTGCCCCCAGTGTCCAGCTTCAAAAAGAGGTGGAATATCACCCAGCCACCTCCAAGTACGACACACCCAAGGGGCAGATGGCACAGGTGCCAGAGCCCTGCTGAGACAGATCCTTCTCTGTAGGCTCAGCCCCTGCACAAAGACTCTTCCACTGTAGTCAAGGCCAGTCCTCACAACCAGTGAGCCCAAGAGTCAGTCCCTCACATTGATGTGCAATTATCAACCAAGGCTCAGCTACAAGAGGAGGGCACACTCACCCACACAAGGGACTCACCTGGAGCACGTGGCTCAGGTTATCAGAAAGACTGCCACTGAACCCCACAGAACACCTAATACATAAGGCCACTCTACTAAGACCAGAAGGCAAAACAGCCCTACATAATACATAGAAACAGTCACAGGGAGGCAGCCAAAATGAGGAGACAAAGAAACATGTCCCAAATGAAAGAACAGACAAAGCTCCAGAAAAAGAACTAAGCAAAATGGAGATAAGCAATCAATCAGATTTAGAGTTCCAAACACTGGTTAGAACAATGCCTAGTGATCTCAGAAAGAATTTCACCAGATAGATAGGAAGCATGAAAATAGAGGTTGAGGGCTGGCCATGTAACTCACTTGGTAAAGAGCACAAGCTCTGAGCAACAGTGTCCCTGGTTTGATTCCCACATGGGTCAGTGAGCTTCGCCAAGGCTGAGATGCCAACAGGCGGCAGGATGATTCAGCAGGTGAGAGCACGTGCTCCTAACAAGGTTGCCAGGTCAACTCCCACATGCGATGGTGGGCCATGCCCACCTGCAACTAAGATTGAACACAGCACCCTGAGCTGAGCTGCAGTGACTGCTGGCCAGAGGCCGGATGGTGACAGGACTTGGATGTTAGCTAGCTGCACTCTCCACAACTAAAATTGAAAGACAGCAACTTGGCTGTTTCAATTCCCCAGCAGTGTTTTCCTTCAACAATTCCCCAATAAAATTAAAAAAAAAATGGGGATGAAAACAACTACTGAGAAATAAAGAATACAATAACATAAGTGATGTACAAGATAAGGTAGCAAAAAATACCCAACCTGAACAGAAAAAGAAAAAAGAATCCAAAAAATGGAGGAGAGTTTAAGGGCCTACTGGACAATATCAAGGGTAGCAACATTTGCACTATACCTTTACCTAAAAGAGGAGAGGGAGAACATAGAGCTGAAAACCTATTTGAAGAAATCATGACAGAAAATTTCCCTAACCTGGTGAGGGAAAAAGACATACAAGCCCAGAGAGCCCTAAACAAGATAAAACCAAAGAGGCCAACACCAAGACACATCATAACTAAAATGGCAAAGGTTAAATACAAAGAGAGAATCTTAAAAGCAGCAAGGGTAAAGCAGTTAGTTATCTTCAAGGGAGCCCCCATAAGACTGTCAGCTGATTTCTCAACAGGAACTTTGCAGGCAAGAAGAAAGTGGCAGGAAATATTCCAAGTGATGAAAAGCAATGACATAAACCAATACTGCTCTACCCAGCAAGGCTGTCATTTAGAAGAGAAGGACAGATAAGGAGCTTCCCAGACAAGAAAAAGCTGAAGGAGTTCATTACCATCAAACCAGTTTTACAAGGACTCTTAGAGGGACTTCTTGAAGATGGGAGGGGGGTTAAGGATGGGTGAAAGGGGAAGGGATTCAGAAGTACAAATTGGTTGTTGCACAGTAGTCATGGGGATGTAGGGTATAGCATAAGGAATAGAGTCAACAATAGTGTAATAATTGTGGTGCCAGGTATGCACTAGAGCTATCAGGGTGATAGAAGGGAGTGAGGTTTGGGTCAGGGTGTAAAGTGAAAGCATTAAGAAATATAAATTGGTAGTTAATACAGTTTGGGGAATATAATCAGTAATGTTGTAAAGATAATGTAAGGTATCAGATGGGCACTGGACTTGTCAGAAGGATCATGTCATAGACTGCACAAATGCCTGACCAATGCACTATACACCTGAAGAGCTGAAGAAGAAGAATATTGAATGTCAACTATAACTAAATATATAGGTTCATAGTCATGGAATATGGAGTACAACATGGGGAAGATAGTTGATAGTATTGTAACAGCTACATAAGATGTCAGAGGGGTAGTAGAATTGGGGGGAATACAGCTTTATGAGGGGTTTAAATGTCTACCTATTATGTTGCTTTGTACCCCTGAAACTAATAAAAAGAGAAGTAGAAATTGATTGTGGTGCAGGTAAGTTACAGAAAAAAATAAGGCCAGCTTCATTAGGAAAAAGTGCTAATTAAAAACCATTGGCTATTCTAATACAGATTTTTAAAAAAAGAAAAACGCAGAAGAAAATATGGAAACATGACAGAGACTATACTCGAAATAACAATTTTGAAGTAATTTGAAGAATCATGTACAAATATGTTTGAAAACCTTGATTAACTGACTTGAAAAAGAATCACTTGACATGTGCATCATTTTATCAGTTGGTTCTATGCTCAAGGTGCTGCATTGATTTATAGTTATCTTAAGATCTCAATACCAACCCAATTCAGGGATAAATGCTGGCCCCTGTGACATGGCAGGAAGGGGAGGCAGATCAGGGACAGGCAGAGTGACAGCCACCAAAGAACCTGTGTAAGAGACTGTTACACGTTTACTATACTCCCTTTCCTCTTCTTCCTGCACTTGAAGTTCAAATCCTGTTAAGCCCTGCTTGTCAGCGTGCATGGCCCAGTGACTCAGTTCTGGTTTGGAGAAGGTGGGCGAAGGGAGGTGTGCCCTTCCAGACTTGCCCACAGCCACCTCGTCCTCACCATGCCCCGTGCCTTCTTCCCACGCCTTGGGAGCCATGACCTAAAGATGGACAAGCCACAGGATGGAAGGAGCTTCATGTGTGTCACCACTGGAGAGCACTCACCCCAGTGGACGTGGAGAGAAGTCCTCCCTCATATCCACTTTGAAATCGCAGTTATTACCTGCTGCTTTTATTCTTCCAGGACTCAGTGTGGTTCAGGAGAAATTCTACATTCTCATAGAATCTTGGTCATGGAGAGGAAAAGGCCTTTACAACATATGAGGCAAAGCCGGTCCAATGGGCAGGGCAGGCTGCCGGCAGTAAGGACTATTTGGTTCCTTCCACGGGGTAAGGAAGGGCCTACAGGAGGGCTGAACTGTGGGGCAGAGGTGACGAAGTGACATGGACTGTGCAATATCAGAGGGTCCTGGGGCCATACCAGCATCCAACATCCACCAGGGACCCACAGAGCTATTCAGAGAAACTGATAAAAGCTCTACCTGCCACAGTCACAAAGGATCGGCCTCAGAGTTATGGGTAAATCAGGGATTATCATCTGCAACTTTTGATGAGGAAATTAAGTTTTATAGAGATTCAAATGTTTTGTCTTCAAATACTGTCAACAAGTTTGCTGCCATTAATCCAATGCCAACAGAAGT